CGTCGAGGGCAAAGGGTTAGTGTTAATTCTTTTCAGACCATTTGTTCTCTTTTAAAGTTTTCATAAACTTGAGGTGTTTAAGTATCACCGGTAGAAAAGAAACATCACGAGGTTCCTCGAAGATATATATCTTCTGGTCGCGTGAGAAGAGACTTCACTCGCGTGGAAAAATGGAAGAGCGTAAATGGAGGGACGGGTGTATATCGTAGAAGAGAAATAGAAAGAGACAGAGATAGAGACAGATGTAGAGAGAAAGAGAAAGAGAGAGAGAGAGAGAGAGAGAGAGAGAGAGAGAGAAAGTATAAATCGTACCGTGATTATTCCAGACGGCACAATCGACGCAGCAGCCTTTGGTCGCGTAACATCGTGCCCCGTTGGAGGACGAGCCGAGGCTCGGGCTGGTCGTAGCGGTGGATGTGTTCGTGCACGTGGCGATCGACGTGGTTGCGCTGACGGACTTGCCGGACGAGATTTGCACAGTGTGCAGGGTGCCGGTGCTCGGATCAATGGACGGGGGTGGGTTCCTTCGGGGTGGTGGCGTCGGTGGCGTCAGCTGCCGCTCGATTCCGTCCTGAAGACTGCGTCGAGCAGCCGCGACGAGGTCGACGCGCGTCGGACGCACCGCGCGACACGGGCAACACCAAAGAACCGGCAAAAACCACTCTCTTAGTTAGTTACTGGCGAATGTTCGACGACCTGATCGGCGCGGGAATAGTGTCGTCGTCTTCGCCGCGTTTTTCGACCGATCATCATCATCCCCGTCCCTTCCCTCAACCCCTCTTTTCATTTAGCCAGCTACTCGCCGATATCGCCGAGTCACCACCGAGTACCGACGCGCGTTCAACAATAGCTAATACCTATTTAATTATCCTATGTCATCGTTCCATCAGCCACGAGGTGCATGCATTTTATTGCGCGACGATCGAGCTAGCGAGGTGACTACGTTTTAACCCTTTGGCTACTGGCCAAGGTAGCTTTTAAAGTTTTCTTTTCCTTCGAAGAGGGAAGATTCAAGTTGGCGCCCATAGGCGCTTGACTCGGTTAGTTCGGTCAGGCGCCGCTGAAACGAGAGGCGTCTCTACTGGCGCTAGCTTCGCGAATTGCTCGAATCAAACCCAGAGGCGGCACTCGTATTTATAACGAGACAAATTTCACAAAGATGAAGGCTCGAGTAGGGCATAAATCGAAAGGTAAAAATACCGACGTCGAGCCTTTCCCGTCATGCATACGTGAACGATACAACAATTCGGGAGAATGCAAGGCGCGAGTGTGTAGCGTGTAGAAAATGTAACGTGTTTCGAATTGTACCACGCTTTACTAGATTGTTAGATATACTATACGAAATAAAGCTCAAAGTTACTGTTAAAGTTTTAGCACGTGCACTGGCAATTCAATACGGAATACGAATAAATGGATGATACAGTAGTGCCCACTTAAGCGTCCGTCGCTATTACAACAATTTTTAGAATTGGGACTCAAACGATACGTAACATCGATATTTTGATTGTTTCGGACACATATCGATCAAAGTGAAACAAATTTTATATTAACCGTGGATAACTAACGAGTTAGGCTCGTGGTTTTTGTGATAATAATACGCATTAACGTGTTATAGTCGGGATAACGCTGTGTTCTATTGCGATTGATTTCGAATAATAATTATTCTATATAATTACGAAATTGTTTCACCGTTTTAATTAATTCCTAGAAATAATTTTGTTTGTAATTAAACACGGGCAAACGTAAAAATAATTTTGAAAAGTGCAGCGACAGATTTTTTTTTTTTTCAAGGACAGAAAAAACATTTTAGACGTACATCTTTCGAAGATTCTGATAACGAGGATACGATAAAAACAAATGAATCTTCAACGAGTAAAAATAACGCCAATGATTGCAATTGGGTTCCCAAAGGTAATAATCGAAAAAGTTTTATCTTTTTATCTTCACGGAAAACACCATAGAATAAACCTTTTATTTTTGGAAGAATTAGGAGAAAATAGATAATAGATTTATTCAATCTAACATTGACGGATGATTATTTTAGGACGCGATAATTGTTAAAACAAATAGATATGCAGCACAGATGCTAAATAGTGAAAATTACAAAAAGAAAAAATACAAAAAGAGGAGTAAAACTACTTGGAATGTGAACTTTTCCAGAAGTTACTGTTAAATTTTTTGTTTCAAAAAGTATCATACTGAAATAAACTATTAATACATATATATACAATGTTTTGTCTGCTTACTAAAGAAGTTCTTTTTTTTGCAAAATTTATTATTAATAAATAGTAATACTATATACTTTTTATTTTTCCCTTTACTGCTACGCCACTATATCATCTAGTCAGCTTTTCAGTGTTTTTTGAATCATTTCTACATTGTGTTGCCTAAGTGCATTTTGTCCACAAAATTTACACAATGATACTATACAAATATATACAAATTCAATTTATATGTATTAATACGATTATAGAACTATGTGTATTGTTAATTTACTATCGACGAAAACTTAACAAGACTTTTATTCGAGGTTTCCATTCAATTATCGATCAACAACCACTTTTATAAGAATTTCAATAAATTTTCGAGAAATTTAGATGAATTGCAATCGTTTGGTAATTATTGCATTAAATCGGAAATAGCTTGAATAAAATGTTGATATATTGAATTTCTTCACATAAATGTAAACCAATACTGGAATTCGTCGCACGTGCCAGCTGTCGGTAAAATAGTTAACGATCATCCCCACTCTTTCTTTCGGTCCCAACTGTGGATGCTTAAGGGGCAGCTATTGCATTTAATACAGTGTAATAAGTATTTTGATTATTTCAATATACTTTCTGAGAGAAATGCACGCTGAAAAATTTCGATCGAACTTCTACGGCACGTTCATCAAAGTTTGCCGTAGCGAAAGGGTTAATAACTTTCTCACGCGCGTACACACACACACACACACACGTTCGGGCGCGTTTCAGCAAACTCGGCGATGATCGTCGAGCTCCCGGTGGTTAGTGGTTACGCATGCAAGCGCGCAAGCGAGAAATGCTATTCGATCAAGAGTAAAAAAAGCAAACTATATCGACTCCCATAGCCCTAACGTCTCTTACCATATTCGCTATTCGGATGAAGATAATTACCGCTACCTGGACCGCTGAAACGTACAATTCACCGATCATCACTAGGAAGATCACGTCGGTTTCTCTCTCGTTCCCCAGATTTTCTAATTTGCCACGCGACCCGACCGCTTTTTCTAGGCAATTTCTAACCACCAATTACGTACGTACGCACGCACGCATTTAGATGTTACATCTAGACCCGATCGATGATAATTGCCGCCAATCAGCCAACGATTATTATCTACTTACTCGAGTACTTTGTAAGGGGCGTGATGATGGAATTGTTGCTGGACGGGATTTCCAAACACGGGAAACGGCTTCAGCGGGATGTTCTCCTCGATACCCGTGAGCTTGGGCTCGATTCCCATTTGATTCATCGCGCTGTCGCTCAAACCGCTAGAAACATTACACCACAGATATTTCGTTGCCACCTCTTTCAAATTGTAATCTCAAAAAAAAAGAGACACTAACCCCGCTACGTTTGGCACAACTTGATGGGACCTCGCGGTAACTTGGTTCGCCGGGTCGTGGCCGCTTCCTCTTTGAAGCGACGAGTATGGCAGGAAGTCTATGGAATTTGTCGGGGAAGCCTGCAAATTCAAACAGCAGGGGTATTTTTCATCTTTTAGTCTTTTCTTTCAAATCATTCTTATGAAAAGTATCACATCTAGTGAAGAGTATAACTATACCGAACAGCACCAAGGGAAAATTGTTGATAATTCAGACTGATGCAACTTTGTAAACAAAGATTGAATGCTTTAAAATGAGACCAAGTTGTACGACCTTTTACAAAATTATGTCACTTTTATAATTTTAATTCTTCACTGTTGTATCCTTCACTGTACACGTATATAATTTTAATTCTTCACTGTTGTATCCTTCACTGTACACATTCCATGTATCGAATTAAATCAAGGTTAATCCTCTGGACATTTACCTTGAGGGTCGTGGAATTCACCTTGAGCGATCTGGCTCGGTTGAAACTGTGGTGCCCTTTCCTCATACTCGACCAGACGCTGCCGAATAACGAATGGTTCCTCTGTAAGGGAACAAGAAAGAAGTTTGATTAAATTCAAAGTTCAAGCATGGAGGCAAAGTTTACTTTATTCACGCGAGTATCGATTACCCTGTGCATAGGTTCCGGATTGTCGTCGAGGAGCTCTTCCAAGTTTCCGGAAATGGCTCTCTTCAGCTCGGGCCCAGCTTCGTGTAAAGTCCTCAGACCAGCCTTCAACGAAATATCGAATTTTCTCTCCAGTCATATATCGCCAGTTCGATTTCGATATAAACTATTTTACGAGTACACATCGTTTTCTTCAAATTTAATAAACATTACCAATTATTGTCTAGTGACAATAACTTAACATAAACTAGTTAAACAAGTATTGACACTTAAATATTCTAGTTAAACAAGTATTGACACTTAGTCTGTTAAAACTGTATTAACTCTTGAATAAAATGAAATTTTGTACAGCGACATTACTTATGGATACCCATAATGTAGTTTATATAAAGTTTATACTTAAGTAAATTGAAGTTTATATAAATTATATTCAAATTT